GCACAGAGGAAGGAGGAGGGTCCCGGCCGCCCAGATGCAGTTGGTGCTCCAGGGAGGGGCCTGTTGGAACCGCAGGATCCCTACTTCTGGCACTTTGTGCCTTGTAAATCGCACCAGGGGGTGGGGAGAGGACGCACCTATATTTTCTAAGGAAAAAGAAAAGACCTGAGAGCTGGAGAGCAGCCCGGGTCGTGGAGGAGCAGCCCGGGAGTCCGCAGGCCGCCCGGGAGGCGCGCACCGCGCAGCGCCAACAGACCGCCTCAATAATGGCAAATAAAAGGGCTACTTATTTTCATCAGTGTCTGCGTTTTAGCAAATCTTCGTATTGTCTGCAACTTAATTTCCTTATGCAAAAGTGCACCTGTTTCTAATTTGATCCGAAAGGAACATCGCCTTCGCCGCGCTCTTAAAATCTAATCTAATCGGAATGGCAACGTGGGAAGGGGCCGGGGAGCCGGGAAGGTTTTTTGGTTTGTTTATTCTGGTTTAATGGGGATCTGTCTTGACAAGAAAATGAGATACCTGGCTCCCAACAAGATGGCAGAGGTTGAAATAAAGGCGCCTGCCCAGAGCTTCTAGAACCTTCCCTCCACACCGCCCCAGCTTCCCAGCCCCCAGGGAAATGTCTCTGGACCCCCTGAGCCGGCCTTTCCCCTCCAGGTCCCCAAGCCAGTGGGTTCCCTTGGAGACGGCCAACTGCCAAGGTCCAAGCCAGGCCACTGAGCAAGGCGGGGACCCTGAGCAAGGCGGGGGACATACGCCCCATTTTGGAGCCAGTGGGGAAGGGGGGTGCCGAGGCCCAGGGGCTCCTCAGGAGGACGGACAAGGAGTTGTGTGTGGGTCAGGCAGAAGGCCACCCCCCAGGACTCCATCTCGATGACACCTTAGGGGCCCTCTTGAAGGGGGCGGGGCAGGGGCCCAGGCTGGAGAGCTGGAGCCCCGCCCCTCCCCACCTCCCTCCCATCGCTCTTTGGAAGTGATGGGGGGGGACAAGAATGGCAGCCAGACAGTTGTGCCAACAGACTCCCCCGTCAGCGGCTAATGACTGGGAGCGTGCGTGCTCTCTCTCGCGCTAAACATTTATTAATGTGTTAGGATTCCCATTAGCGGTTCCTCGAGCTGAAGTCATTTGCATATGGCTGGGAGAAACAAGCTCCCAACAGGCGTCAATCACAGTGACAGATCAGATGGTCGTGGCTGGAGCCAGGGAGGGGGCCGTCTGGAGCTGCAGCTCCCCTCTTCTGGGCCCAGTCACTAGACCCAGTCCTGCAGCCCTGGGAGGCCAGGCTCCGCTGGTGGCACCCCCAGGACCCCCAAGGCTGCCCAGGACACAGGTGAGGAAACCGAGGCCCGGAGGCTCTTCCTCCCACTGAACCAAGGCCGGCTCTGCGCATGCGCATCCACCCAGCCCTGGTCTCCCCCTCTGTACCCAAGGTCCTCCCCCTGGGGCACGGGAGGCCACCCTCGGTGTGCACCTGCGACAGGGCTCAGGGATGCTCCTGATGACCCCCTAGGATCCCGATGATGATGACAGGAAGGGGGACAGCACCCACAGATGCCCGGCTGAGGCCGGCAGCCCCTCTGGGGAGCCCCCAGGCACCCTCCCGGCCCACCTCGGGCTCCTCTGGCCTCAAAGACGCTGGGACTGGGAGCGAATGGCCGTCTCTCCATTTCACCATTGTCCCATCTGCTGTCCCCCGAGACCAGGAGGGTGAAGACCGCGGGATGCAGCTCAGGGTCCTCAGTGCCCAGCCGGCACCCCGCCCTGGAGGGTGTTTGGCAAAAGTGAGAGGAGGAGGAAGAGAGGAGGGAAGGAGGGAAGGAGGGACGGCTGTCACCTTCTCTCACTCCCATGACATTCTGCGCTCAGCCTAATGTTCACTGGTGACGCACCCAGTTGAGGCTAAGCCATGGGTGGGGGGGTGCTGACCCAGACTTTCCAGTGGAGGCTTAAGGGCTGTCCCTGTGCAAATCCTGCCCCAGAGTCACAGTCCCGTACCAGGACTCCCAGTCCCTGGATGGCTCCCGCTGTCTTCAGTCCACCCAGTATTTATTGAGCACCTACTAGCGTGGGCTGCCAGCTCCCAGGCAGCAATGAGCCTGCGTTCCAGAGAGACAGGGGCTGTGGGTCAGCAAGAAGATGAATGAGCTCACTGAGGCCAGGGATCAAGTATCCTGTAAAAAGAGAGTCTGAGCCAGGCCCGTGGGGGCACGGGCCTGTGATCCCAGTGCCTCAGGAGGCTGAGGCAGGAGGATTGCAAGTTGGAGGCCAGCCTCAGCAACTTAGGGAGGCCCTGTCTCGAAACAGAATAAAAAGGGTTGGGGGTGTGGCTCAGGGGTTCAGCATGTTGGGTTGAGTCTCTTCCCCCCAAAATGAGCTTGGTGGGCTGGGGGTCTTGGTGTCTCTGTCCTCTGCGTCACCTTTCTGGGTTGCAGATCTGCCCAAGCCTCTGCCCGGGGTCTGTCTCAGACCTGCTCCCCAGTCCTCAGCCCATGTCCCCTCCCTGGGCTCCCTGGCCTGCCTCCCTGTCCCCAGGGGTCTCCACAGCCTCACGTCCACGCCCTCCCTGAGCTGGGTTCTGGTCCCTCCCTGACCCTCCTCAGCCCCCAAGCCGCCCTGGCCAGGGCCACTCCCTTCTGGGTCTTCAGATCCCCAGTGGCTGCTCCATGTGGAGTAGTGGGTCCCCACCCCAAGCAGCCTCTGCGTCAGGGGCAGGTGACAGCAGAGCCAGGAGGCGGCTGGGGAGACGATCCTGGCATCCAAGGTCCCAGACCCAGGTCAGGAGGAGCTTGAGACACACCAGCCAGGGACAGCGCCCTGACCCCAGGCTTCCCGGCCAGTGTGTCACCTTGGCCCCTCTAGCGGGTCCCTGTGGCCCCGGTGGCTGGTCGCGGCGGGGGATTAAGGTGATTAGGGGCGCCCCAATCTCCAGGGCGCTGACTCAGCCCAGAGCTTAGGGACGGAAGGTCACTTGATAAGGGCCTGGGGGCGGGGATCAGAGCCCGCAGTCCAGCGGGAGCCACAGCCATGAATGGCACCGAGGGCCCCGACTTCTACGTCCCCTTCTCCAATGCCACCGGGGTGGTGCGCAGCCCCTTCGAGCACCCGCAGTACTACCTGGCCGAGCCCTGGCAGTTCTCCCTCCTGGCCGCCTACATGTTCCTGCTCATCCTCCTGGGCTTCCCCATCAACTTCCTCACGCTCTATGTCACCGTGCAGCACAAGAAGCTGCGGTCCCCGCTCAACTACATCCTGCTCAACCTGGCCACCGCCGACCTCTTCATGGTGCTCTTCGGCTTCACCACCACCGTCTACACCGCGCTCAACGGCTACTTCGTCTTCGGGCGCACCGGCTGCTTCGTGGAGGGCTTCTTTGCCACCCTGGGCGGTAGGTGGCCGGGATGGCCTCGGGTGACAAGGGACCTTGGAGATAATGACATTTTTTTTTTTCCATAACCCAGAGTTGCTTTAGCACATCCCCAGCCCTTTTCATTCATTCATTTATTTATTTTTTTTTAATTCTCAGATTCTCGCTCAGTTGCTTAGGGCCTCCATACATGGCGGAGGCTGGCCTCCAACTTGCGATCCTCCTCCCCCAGCCTCCCAGATGGCTGAGCTATCACAGGCCGGCGCCACCGGGGCCCCAGCGGGAATCATTATTCATGGCCTTCTCTTCTGCCCTTAGGAATACCCTTGTCTGGTTGATTAGTTATAAGGCCACGCACTCTCTGGGTTGATCCTTTTTGGGGGTGATGGGCAGGGTTGACATCCGGAGCCCACTGACGTTCCATCTTCTTTGGGACAAAGCATGATCCAGGGTCCTGTGACCTGCCCATCTGGGTTTTTTTGCAACCTCTTCCCTGCAGGGAACCCTGCTGTGGCCCCCTGGGATCTAATCAGACTCCACTCCTTGGCACCTTGGTCCCCTTCCCTGTCCCCTGCCCCTTCTCTCCATGCCTGAGCCCTCTCTATCCTTGGGGTGGCCTTACGGTCACCGTCTCCCCGTCTCTGGACAGGCCGCGGCTGGCAGGTGACTGACGGCTGACTGTCTTGCAGGCGAAGTGGCCCTGTGGTCCTTGGTGGTCCTGGCCATCGAGAGGTACATGGTGGTATGCAAACCCATGAGCAACTTCCGCTTCGGGGAGAACCACGCGATCATGGGGGTCATCTTCACCTGGATCATGGCGTCGGCCTGTGCCGTCCCGCCCCTCTTCGGTTGGTCCAGGTAACGACACCGAGCGGCAGGTCTCCCAGTCAGAACCCCCTAATGGCTGGACCTGATGTGGAGTGTCACAGGAAAGTGAGGTCCCCTTCATTCCACTGTCTTTCCTGTTCCCATCGCCCTCCCTTTCCCTTCATCCCCTTTTGTGTTTTGGGGGGCACTGGCTGATTTCACTCAGCATGAGAGTCTCCGGTTCCATGTCCATTTACCGGCAAATGCTACGATTTCGTTCTTCTTCATGGCCGAGTAATATTCCACTGTGTATGCATACCACAGTTTCTTTATCCCTTCCCCTGTTGAAGGTCACCCAGGTTGGTTCCAGAGCTCAGCCATTGTGAAATGAGCGGCAGTCGACACCGATGTGGCTGCGTCGCTGTTGTAGGCTGATTTTCAGTCCTCTGGGGTCCACACCGAGGAGTGGCAGAGCTGGGTCAAATGGTGCCAAACCTACACCGTCTTGGCTGAGCCCCCGTAATCCTCAACTAAGCCAAGAACAAATTCCAATCCTCTTTGGCCCAGCGTCCCACAGGAGGCTCCCCCCGACCTTGGGCCTCAGCACCTTGAAAAGCCAAGTCTGCCTCGGACAGAGGGCCACCCTGGGTCCCATGGCAACTGAGTCCCATCTGACCTCCAAGCCACCGTCTCCAGATGAGAAGAACTGGGGACAGTGGTTTGGACACCCAGAGAGGTGACTCAGGTGCCCAGAGGCCTCGGGTCCCTCCGTTCCGGAAGGTTCCTGTCCTCTCTCCTCACTTCTCTCCTCCCTCTGTCCTCCTGGGGTCCACCTCTGAGGCTGGTTGGGTTCAAGTCCATCCGGGCTCCTGCCCATCTTCTCCAATTTACTAAATGACGGAGGCTAGCCTCCAACTTGCGATCCTCCTGCCTCAGCCTCCGGAGCTGCTGGGATGACAGGAGTGTGCTACAAGCGTGGGCATCAGGCCTCTTGATTTCCATTGTTGCACAAAGACCCCTTCAATGCATTTACGTCCATCTTTGGCCCGAAGACCCCAATTTGTGCCATCACAGAGCCCTTGCAATCCATGTCCCCTCTGCCTTGCATAACCAGGGGCCTCCAGAGGGCAGAGGCCAGGTGAATGGGGACAGGGTGGGGTGGGGGGGTTCTGTGAGGGTGCAGCCATGGCTGCAGGTGTGTCGACAGCTCAGGGCTGGGGTGTCCCGTACCCATGTCCCCATGCCCTGTCCCCTCCAGGTACCTCCCCGAAGGCATGCAGTGCTCCTGTGGGATCGACTACTACACGCCCAAGCCCGAGCTCAACAACGAGTCCTTCGTCATCTACATGTTCGTGGTGCACTTCACCATCCCCCTGCTCATCATCTTCTTCTGCTACGGCCGCCTGGTCTTCACGGTCAAGGAGGTAGAGGCCCGGGAGGCCGCGGAGCCCCGCCCACCCGCTAACGCGCATGCGCAGCCCCATTTTCCCACCCAGAGCCCGACAAGGGAACTGGAGGGGAAGGCCGCGGAGCCCCGCCCACCCGCTAATGCGCATGCGCATCCCCAGCTCCCAACCAGAGCCCAGCCTGGGAGCTGGAGGGGAAGGCCGCGGAGCTCCGCCCACCCGCTAACGCGCATGCGCAGCCCCAGTCCCACCCGGAGCCCAGCCTGGGAGCTGGAGGGGAAGGCCGCGGGGCGCTGTCATCAGAGGCCATCCGGTCCCTTGTCCCTCTCCCGTGTCCCTGCAGGCAGCCGCCCAGCAGCAGGAGTCGGCCACCACCCAGAAGGCAGAAAAGGAGGTGACCCGCATGGTCATCATCATGGTCATCGCTTTCCTCATCTGCTGGGTGCCCTACGCCAGCGTGGCCGTGCACATCTTCACCCACCAGGGCTCCGACTTCGGCCCCGTCCTCATGACCATCCCCGCCTTCTTCGCCAAGAGCTCCGCCCTCTACAACCCTGTCATCTACATCATGATGAACAAGCAGGTGGGAGGGGACCGTCCCCGGGCCCAAGGGGCACGAGCTGCAGTCTGGGGCCAAGGGCCGTCCTGGTGGCGGGCTGGGATGGAGGGACCCGGGGTTGACCGTCCCACCCGGGAGCTCGGGATCAATGCAGAGTCCCGGGTCCCACCCAGAGCTGGTGGCTCCAGAGCTCACTCTGGTGGTGACCCCCCCCCCAGAGCCTGCATTTCTCACAAGCCCTCTGGGGGCCCCTGATGCTCCAGGGTGGGACTGTCACCTGATGCTCCAGGGGGTTCTGGAAGCCTGGTTTAAAAGTCAAACGGGACAGCCTCCTTAGGCACATGGCTGGGGAGGCTGAGGCAGGAGAATCCCCAGTTGGAGGCCAGCCTCAGCCACTTAGCGAGGCCCTAAGCAACTCAGGGAGGCCCTGTCTCTAAATAAAATAGAAAAAGGGCTGGGGACGGGGCTCAGGGGTGAGGCACCCCTGGGGTCAATCCCTAGTCCCAGAATGAATGAATTAATGTCAAATAATTCCAAGCGAGGGATCGGGACAGTCCCAGTCTCCATAAAACCGAACCAATCATATTCTGATGGCTAAAGGATAAAGGGATCTAGTACCAAAAATCGTGGGTCTCTCTGTGGAATCCACGGTGGGGAGCTGTTCTCTGCAGCGAGGCACATTGGGTTCCAACGCCAGCTCGGCTGCTATGTGGCTGTGTGACCCCAGGCTGCTCAAGTTCCCTCTCTGTGCTTCATTCAGTTTCCTCCTCCCTTGACAGGGCAGCATTCCAAAGGGTTTGTTTGCTTTTAAAGAATCAATGAGAGCCCGGCGCGGTGGCACCCGCCTGTCATCCCAGCAGCTAGGGAGGCTGAGGCAGGAGGATCGCTCTTGAATTAAATGAGATAGTTTTACAGAATGCCCTTGGCACACGGAGGATGCCATGGGATGAGATGGGTGACAAAGTTACTTTGTGTGGCATCCCGGGTGTCTCCACGGCCAAGGGGGACTTATATTCAACAGGTTTCCTTCAGAGAGCCGGGTTGGAGAGGGGCGTGGAGGCTGTGGGGGGCAGGAGCAGGGCAGGGGGCCTCACTGACCAGTGCTGGTTTGCTCTGCTCTTTGGGGACAACCTGGCCCTGACTCCACCCCCTGACCTTCCAGTTCCGGAACTGCATGCTCACCACCATCTGCTGTGGCAAGAACCCCCTGGGTGACGAGGAGACCTCCACCACCGTATCCAGGACGGAGACCAGCCAGGTGGCCCCAGCCTAAGCCCTGCCAAGGACCCTGTGGCCAACGGATCTCGACAGATTGTAGGAGTCTCCCATCCCCCACGTCCCCTCCCAGCCACAGCCACCTGCCCAGGAGCAGTGCCTGTCGAAGGAGGTCACACAGACTCCCTGGGTTTGTTTTTAAAGAATTAGCGAGAGCCGGGCGCGGTGGCTCACGCCTGTCATCCCAGTGGCTTGGGAGGCTGAGGCAGGAGGATCGCAAGTTGGAGGCCAGCCTCAGCCACTTAGCGAGGCCCTAAGCAACTCAGCGAGACCGGGTCTCAAAATTTAAAATAAAACGGGCTGGGGAGGTGGCTCAGTGGTTAAGTGCCCCTGGGTTCAATCCCCCAGTACCCTCTCCCCCTCCAAAAAAAAAAAAAATGAGAAGAAAAAAACGAGGCTCCCCAATTTCAGGGGACAGCCTGACAACCAAGACCACCCCCAAACTCGGGTCCCCCAGTTCCCAGGGGCCAGCAGGATCTGTCCCCACTTCCCCCAACTCATCTCTCAGGAACATGAGAACTTTGCTCTCTGGGGAGGTGTCTCAGCTCAGGGCTCGGTGAGGTAGCACCGAACAGAGCACATAGTAGGTGCTTAATAAATGCTAGACGGACGAAGGAAGGAGTGGGTGAAGTAGTGGACGGATGAAGGAGTTAACATATACCTCTGTCCTCCCAGACCCCTGCCCCTCCGCAGAAGTGGGACAGGTGGCCCAGGACTCATTGCTCCCTCAACTGGGTCCCACTTTGTCCCCCCCAAGAATGAAATCCCAATTCTCTGACCCCAACACGCAGCTGCTGCAGACACCAAGTGTGAGTGCGCGTGAGTGTGCGTGAGTGTGTTCGATCTCTCTGTAAATAGACTGAGTGGCTGTCCACACGGCTGTGAACGTCATTGGTAACATCAATCAATACAGTTAAGTTGATCATTTCTGCTTGATAGTGACCATATGGGGACTGGGCGTCAACATGACGGGGTTTCGCGCACCCTTTGTAGGATTTTTAATATCAGCCAGGCACTGGGTCCGGACGTGGACTGCAGACAGGCCGGGAGCCTCAAGGAAGAGACAATAACAGGAAAGCAGAATAGTGTCATCAGACCTGAGAAAACATTGGGTGTGGGGGCTGCAGCCAAGGAGGCCTGGGGTCTCCCCTCCAGTGTGGCACCCCTGGCCCAGAGCCTCCCCTTTCCAATGCAGAATATAGAGACATTTTTGGTTTGGGAAGCTTTGTTTTTCTGCCCAGGGCCAGTAGGAAACTTCTAGAAGCCATGCTAACCTGGCCAAACTTAATGGACAGCCGAGGCCCCAGGGTCACTTTCTAAGCTTGAAGAACTTAAAAACAAAAGGGTAGGAAAGAGCCCGGTGCTCTTCCCTGGGGGAGGTTCATGGGTCCCGGTTTCCAGCTCCCTTGATGGGTGAGCCCGTCTCAGGCAGCTGCTGGCCCATTCTCTGTCTATGCCGGAACCCTGGGACATCAAAAATGAGCGGCTCCATTTCCACGTAACCAAAACTGGAAGTTCCAGCTCTCTCCATCTCCGCCCGGAGACCAGGACAAACGGAGGCATTAAAAGCTCAGCTCTTAGACTTTGCATGAGCCTTGGTGGGTTTTTTTTTCTTTTCTCTGAAGCTTTTCCCCTGCAGAACGGATTGAAATTTTGCAGCTTCCACCTGATCCCTGGCCCTGGGGGTGCTGGATTGCCCAATGGGCAGAGACAAGCAGCCCAGAGCCCCTTTGGGGGTGAGGGGTGGGCGCAGCCTCAGAATGGAGGAAACCTAACTTGGGAATCCATAGAGACCCAGGTGACCTGTGAAACCAGGAGCAAGTTATATTGTCTAAGTTTTCTTAGATGCTTAAATACTCCCTTGGGTGCTGCAGATGGTCACCCACTTTGGCACTATAAGGCTCAGAGGTGGCCTTCCCAGAGACCTCACCCCCAAAGGCATCAGGATGGAAAAACAGCTGCAATGAGAAACCCAGGCACCAAGGCAGGAAAGCATGCAGGAGCCCCAGATCAAAGAGCCTCAGAGCCCTAGGGGTGGGGTAGGGGACAGCTGGGACGTCAATCATGGCCACTCTTTGCTATCTCCCTCCAGATGTCAGCCAGGATGCCTTGGGTTGCAACTCAACTGGGCAGAAGCAAAAGGGAGATATTATTCGTTCATTTAAATTAAAAGCCCAGGGCTGCAGGCACAGCTGGATTCAGGGGATCCAACGATGTGATCAGCTCTGTTTCTCCTCCTTTCTTTCCTCTGTTTCATTCAGAGGCTGACAGTTCCCAAGAGTGAGCAGAAGTAGCTCAAGGAACTCCAAGCTCAGCGAGCCCTGCAGAAAGTGGGCGTCTCTTTCCCCTTAGGACAACTAAGGTCCACAGCAGGATGCTTATTGGCTAAGACCTGGCCACGTGATCACCCCTAAGTGAATCATTGTGGCTGGGCTGAGGATTCATCCTGTGATTGGCCAGGTCCGAATCACATGATAAACCCTAAGCCAATCACCGAGGCTGGGCTGAGATTCATCCTGTGATTGGCCAGACCTGGGTCACCTGATAACCCCTAAGCCAATCACTGCGGCTGGGGTAGGGGGTTATCCTCTGATTGGCCAGACCCAGGTCACCTGATCTCCCCTAGCGTACAAGATGGCGTCAACCTGACATAAGCCCAGCAGTGTGAGGGCGGGAGAGGAGGATTCCCCAAAGAAACGCAGGGGAGCTGTTACCCAAAGGGGGATCTTGGGAGGCCGAGGAAACTGCAGCCCGATCAGCCCAGAAGGACGGGCTCTAAGCGCGTCAGGTCCCAGAGCGTGGATCCACCACGCCGCCCTCCCACCCTGGGGCACGAGGCACGTTCCTATGGCTGGCCCCTTGCTCTGTTGGGCCGGGGGTGGCAATGAACAGGGCCGTGGCGTTTTAACTGCCCCTTTTGTCCTATCCCAGAGGTCCCCTTATTTTGAGGACTCGTGTCCCGGGAAACAGCTTCCTGACCGACCAGAACATTCTCTGTCTTCTCCCTGGTGGAGAGAATGTCCCCCTTTACCCCTGAATCTACATGGACCTGGCCGCCTCTTACAGGGTGACTGCCAGACCTGAAGGGTGTGTCAGTTGCAGGAAGGTTGTCCCCACCTGCACCCCAGGCTCCAGGCAGCCAGGACACCTCTAGATCACCTGTTGTATACAGTCCATTCAGCCAAATCCGAGCAAACCGCCCCAGGTTAGAGTGTGCTGGGGAACTCAGAGAGGGGTCAGATGGGAGCAGGACTCACCGAGCTGTCTCGCTGCAGTTGAGAGACACCTTCCTGACAGCCCAAGTTGTCCCCCAAAAAAGATAGTGCACGGTCTTCCCAGCTGCGTGGCCTCAGGGCAAGCCCCTGGACTGCCACACACCTAAGCTCCCCTTAGGCAAACGGAGGAGAACCATGCCACTTGGTAGGACTTTCTGAAGGGACTGATGAGGCGGTTGCTGTACAGGATCCTGTGCATAGTAGGTGTTCAGTTAAATGTGAGTTCCCTCCCCAGGGATGAAAACTAAGTTCCAAAGAGACAGCCCCGGGGTGTGGTGGGAGAGAGACAGGAGGAGAGGTTAATATGATGGTGGAGGATCTCAGAAAAAAATAGGAAATAAAAATCACGAACGTCCTGATCCTCTAAAGGACAGGAGTGATGCTTTAAAACCGCTTCGAAAGTCCATAAGGAAAGTCCACAGGTAGGAGCCCGCCGTCCCAAAGACAGCAGCAAAGTTTTCAGCTGAAGTTCAACCTCAGACAGGCCTCAGGGGAAGAAAAAAAAAGTCTATCAAAGGCCCGTGCTCTCTCCCACAGTCTGAGGTTCCTGATTCCCATTTCCCTGTAAAATGGCAAATCCCCCCCCGAGGAATTTTTAGATCCTGCAGCACATTTTAGAACTTCTTCCCCCTGGATGCAAAAATCTCTCCTGGCACAGCCCTGGAGCGGGGCTTCTGCAAAAGCTCATGAGAATGTTTATGTCACTTTTTTTTTTTTTTTTTTTTTGTTTCTCAATTCTTGGAAAAAGCCCCACCGACGGGATTGAAATGGCTGCCCTTGGTTGGCACTGGATCCAGCAGATGGGGTCTGGATCTCCTTCCCCTGGGCCCAGCTGGGCTGTGATACTGGAATTTCCGCAGCAGGATAGCAACGCGTAGGGGGCCTCTCCTGCATGCCAGGTGTCATGGGTGGCACGGGGGGTACCACCAAGGAACACGACTGGCCCAGGCCCCAGAGCTCAAGAGTGGAGGACAGGTAAAGCAGAATTGTAACTTGGAATGCTGGAAGTGCCTGAGCGGTCAGACCAGGGGTGGCTGCATCCTAGCCTTCTAGGGATCAGGGGAGGTGCATGGGAAATATTCCAGAAAAGCTAGATGGGGGTGAAGGTTGTTTTCCAGGCCATGTGTATCCGTTAGCTAATGCTGCGTGACAAACAGCCCCAGAATTCATGGTGTATCAGTTAGCTAGTGCTGCATGACAAACAGTCCCAGAAATCATGGCTTAAAACAACAAAGCACATATCATTGCTCACAACTCTGTGGATTACCTGGGTGGTTCTGCTGATGTGGATCAAGCTTGGGGAAGCTCTGTTGGGATCATTCAAGCATCTGGTCAACTGGAAGGTTGACTGGGGACTGGTTGGTTAGCCAACAATTGGCTGGACAGTAGGGGTGACTGGGCAATGGGTCTCTCAGCCTCCAGTAGGCTACCTAGGACTTACTTATAGGGCAGTGGGACGTGCATGATGTCACTCCCACCATAGTCTGTTGATCAAAGCAAGTTGCAAGACCAGCTCAGATCTAAGGAAAGTTACATGGCAGATTAGGATGGATGTGGGCGGTGGTGGAAAAATAGGGATGTTTTTGCATGAATTTGACACACACAGAGGGTAATGCCCAAGTATCAGGGCACAGCCCATTCCAAGAGCCGTGTCATGGTCCTTCCTCCCTCTCTTCCTTCCTTGAACCCAGGGCCTGGTAGATGCTACACACTCTGCCTCTGAGCTACACCTCCAGACCCCACAGTGGGCTTGAATTGTGGAGTTTAAGGGAAAAGAAGGTGCCGGAAGCCAGACTGAAGCCCTCGACTTTTACCCAAGGGCAGTAGGGAGCCATGGGAGGTGCTAGACAGAAGAGTGAGGTCCGCTTTCACTTTAGAACATTTTGAGGGGGCACAGCTTGCCTCAATGCAAACCTCTGGTGATGGAAAGTCCTCTGGGAAAGTTCCAGCAATAGGGAGACCACATGCAAAAAAGAAAAAAAA